TCAAGTCTGAACATCAGTGAGTAGAGGTGGACAACCACCAACAGTATCGAGAGATGTGAGCCATGGAGTGTAAACATCAGTGAATAGGGATGGACAACCACCAACAGTATTGAGAGATGTGAGCCATGGAGTGTAAACATCAGTGAATAGGGGTGGACAACCACCAACAGTATTGAGAGATGTGAGCCATGGAGTGTAAACATCAGTGAATAGGGTGCACAACTATCAACAGTACTGAGAGATGTGAGCCATGGAGTGTGAACATCAGTGAGTAGCGGTGGACAACCACCAACAGTATTGAGAGATGTGAGCCATGGAGTGTAAACATCAGTGAACAGGGGAGGACAACTACCAACAGTATTGAGATATGTGAGCCATGGAGTGTAAACATCAATGAGTAGGGGTGGAAAACCACCTATAGTACTGAGAGATGTGAGCCATGGAGGCTGAACATCAGTGAATAGGGGTGGACAACCACCAACAGTATTGAGAGATGTGAGCCATAGAGTGTAAACATCAGTGAATAGGGGTGGACAACCACCAACAGTACTGAGAGATGTGAGCCATGGAGTGTGAACATCAGTGAGTAGCGGTGGACAACCACCAACAGTATTGAGAGATGTGAGCCATGGAGTCTGAACATCAGTGAATAGAGGTGGACAACCACCAACAGTATTGAGAGATGTGAGCCATGGAGTGTAAACATCAGTGAGTAGGGGTGGACAACCACCAACAATATTGAGCGATGTGAGCCATGGAGTGTGAATATCAGTGAGTAGGGGTGGACAACTATCAACAGTACTGAGAGATGTTAGCTATTGAGTGTAAACATCAGTGAGTAGAGGTGGACAACCACCAACAGTATTGAGAGATGTGAGCCATGGAGTGTAAACATCAGTGAGTAGGGGTGACAACCACCAACAGTACTGAGAGATGTGAGCCATGGAGTGTGAACATCAGTGAGTAGGGTTGACAACTATCAACAGTACTGAGAGGTGTGAATTGATGAATATATTTTATTTGTGAAGGTTTGTGTTGCAATGAACTTATCATGATTAGAACATTACTACAAAATTGTCACAATAACCTCTACTGAGTACTTGTTCAAAAAATAATGTGTGATAAATCCGACCTTTTTGAATACAAAGTGTGTATTTAGAATGGGATGGTTTGGTATTAAAACATTGGATATGAAGATTGATTACTTATACCAATCTTGGTCATGTGACACCATTGTTGGTTTATTTCTGTAAATTCACACGTATCTCTTTGTCTTTATACTACACTATTTATCGGAGATGAGGGTATGACAACCGTTATTATGTCTAGTCCATTTTTGTAACTGGTACAACTGACTAAAATGAGCAAGGATTTGACATTTTTCTACAAATTTAAGCATCACCCAACTTGCATTTTTTTAAATTACTGAAAATAATTACAATATAAATATAAAAAATGAAGAATGATTGCTGTATTGCTGTATACACACACTAAATAATACTTGCAATTCACCACGCCGACAACCTCTATGAATAGTGAATTCCAAACCACATGCCCGCCAATCAAGTAGCGCCGACAAGTCTAGATTGGGCAAAGAACAAAGTGTTTTGAAAAGTTGCAAGTCATCTTGCTAACTGACTGTTCGAATAATTCTCAGAACAGGCTGTAAGCATCTGTTTTCCTGATTGGCTAAGAATCACATCACTACTAGTGTTTCATCATTGAGGTCAAGTCTTCGGTGTGACATTGCAAAATTTCTGGCCCCAGTTATGGATTCGCAAGCTGCTACCATATTTTTTATAAAGCCAAAACAACATGCTTTCAACCACGCTGCCAGGTATGGGTTGCTACAATATTACAACATTGGTTTCATTGTTGATGACTCTAAAGCCGAACAAGTTCAACACTTGCTTCGAAGCTCTCGATACTGTTAAATTTGCTTGAATCGTTTCTAAGGAAACAAAAACCAAACGGCCCTTTTCAGGGCCAAAACATATTTCAAAAAACGAACTACCATTTCTGCTTGAATACACATTTGGTAGACTTGCTGACTGCTGTGATTCTGATAAAAAAATATTGAAACATGAATGTAAATTACGTAAACAGCGGTGCCCTGAAGGCAGAATTTTACTGTCACGACTATTTCGCGATCACGCTTCGTTTTACGCAATTGACATTTATTTTTTTCAGAATCACAACAGACAGTAAGGAAGTCAACTGTTAATATAACGAACAAAAAATATATTTTTTTTAATTATTTTATTAGGGTAGAAAAAGGTGTATGCCCGCACATGACCTCAATTTCTTTATTGTATCAAAATTGGGGGTGGGTGTTTGCCGGGGCATGGGCGCTTACCTGGACCAACTACAGTAATTGTAAACTGTCTGCACTTGTATTCATATGCAGAGTATAATTTCTACAGTTGTAAGTGTAATTGCTGCAGATAACTATGACATATTTCATTCAGACTTTGCTAAGACTGAGCAGCTCAAGTTAAGGTGCAACATCTGAAGTTGACATGGAGATAGAATTCTTCCTCAACTATTGAAAGGATTCAAACCTACAACATTAACCTGGTAGAGCTTCCAGTGACTTGGCTATCCGGCTTTTTGTTAGAGGTTAAGGGTAAAACATTTGTATTAGAAGAGTCATTGCAATGTCAAGTGGTACAAATAACAAAGCATTCAATACATCTATGCAACACTATGCACTGTCAATGCAACCCATTGCTATATCTTTCAATTTTATTGTGTTTTTTTCATGATACAAGTGCTGACTACTCTATCAAAAGTCAGGGTTTACCTACAGTTTTGGTCTTGTAAATTGCACTCACACTCACACTCACACTGGTGTCCTTGTGTAATTTACTCCACTCTGACCAAAACTGTTGGTATGTCTGTAAACCCTGACTTTCCTTGTGATGTTTCTAACACATGTACCACTGTGGAAATACATAATGTATATCATAACTCTTGCCATGTATATTTCAAAACGCTTTTCACACACTGGCTGAAATCATTCAGTCTCAATCTCTAATACACTCAACAGACCTTCAAATTTATTCCTTCCAAAGTACCTAGTATCTATGAACAAAAGCAAGGTTGTAATTGTTAAACTATGTTTTTTTTGGTAGAATGAATACTTTTGATAACTGTTTTAATTTTATTTTAACAGAAAATTGCAATATTGACTGAATATTACTTTTCAAGACACCTCTTCCTTTATTACCATAGAGGGTATACTTGACTGAAATTGTAAATAAAAGGGTTGATGCACATTGATGAGAAAGATATTTTGTAAATTCCGATGACTTATTAGATCACACATTTTGTTGGTGTCTGCATTTGATCAGGTACTGGGAAATTCTTGGTAAAGGGCACAGTCTGTTCTTGGAAACCCTTGAAAATGAAAATGACCTGTTCTGGTAAACCCTTGATATATTGTACGTAGCCTGTTTTGAAAAACCTTTGGTAATGTACATAGCCTGTTTTGAAAAACCTTTGGTAATGTACATAGCCTGTTTTGAAAAACCTTTGGTAATGTACTTAGCACATTATTCATTATAGTAAACTGTTTGTAGTAGAAAGGCACCACTTGTTGTCAGTATTCAATCAGAAATGTATGATATTTTGTGTCTATTTAAACCAAATTGAAAAAAGTTTCAAAATTGAGTCATAAATTTTGACCAACTTTGATGGTGTGATCAAGATTTTAATTGATGCATATGAAGAGTGACTGGACTGTCATACTTTCAATAATATATATTTACAGAATAATAACAATGAACAAGATACAAAGATGGATGGTAAAACAAAACAGGGTAAGATAACCTTCTCCAGTACTGATGTATTGATGACATTGTGTCTGTTACTACTCAGATTAGACTGATAACAGTTCTATTTTGTGTTACAAGTAATAGTTGACCATTTTACTTGCAGGACCTCAGAATGCCAGACAAGAGGCTGTAGTTGCTGCTTTCAAACATGCCTGGAAGGGATATAAGCTATATGCATGGGGACATGATGAATTGAAGCCTATCAGTAAATCCTACAGTGAATGGTTTAGATTGGGACTTACATTAATAGATGGATTAGATACAATGTATATTATGGGATTAGATGAAGGTAATTAACATTAATATATTTAGCTTGATAGATTGCTTATTTGCCATCACATGAAGACCTCATTTAATTCTGTGCTCTCTCATAGTCAAAGTGGCTTTAGACTTGTCGTTAAAATGATTAGTTTATAGTATCTTTATAAATCAATGAAGCTTGAACTGCACCAAGGCTAACTTGTTGGGCACCAAGGCTAACTTGTTGGGCACCAAGGCTAACTTGTTGGGCACCAAGGCTAACTTGTTGGGCACCAAGGCTAACTAGTTTGGCACCAAGGCAAACTTGTAGGCCACCAAGGCTAACTTGTAGGGCACCAAGGCAAACTTGTTGGGCACCAAGGCTAACTTGTAGGCCACCAAGGCTAACTTGTTGGGCACCAAGGCTAACTTGTTGGGCACCAAGGCTAACTTGTTGGGCACCAAGGCTAACTTGTTGGGCACCAAGGCTAACTTGTTGGGCACCAAGGCTAACTTGTTGGGCACCAAGGCTAACTTGTTGGGCACCAAGGCAAACTTGTTGGGCACCAAGGCTAACTTTTAGACATCATATCAATGAAACTTATCAACTAACATACCACTGTGATTCGTGTTATAGAATTTAAAGAAGCTAAAGATTGGGTTGTTCATATGGATGTCAATCCTAATGTAGATGTTAATTTATTTGAGACAACTATTCGTGTACTCGGTGGTTTGCTCAGTACATACCATCTTAGCGGCGATTCAATATTTCTGGAAAAAGCAGTAAGTATATCTGCCTAACTCAGTATTCACTACGTTCAATTACCCACCATAGACTCCGGTCAATCACAATGACTATTTTGAACTGTAAGTATTAATCAGCGATTCTGCCGGTGACGGAGAGATAGAATCTAGGTCAGGGGAAGCCCCATGACCCCAAGATTCATTTACCCCTTACGTCACGTACCCACGTGACCGAGGCCACATGGCAGCGACATAGGCAGCCGTACAATCACTCTTTCTTTCATCTCCGCCTCGTTGGGAGTGATTCTGGCTCTGCCTGGCTCTGTTGCTTTTCCCTGTCCGGGTTTCTAGCATGGGTCGACGCTGCAGCCGCGGCATCCGACATTCTAGCTGGTAGGATAAGTTTTTCTTGTCTTTTTACCCTAGTGTCGTTTTCTCCTTTGTGTGTTATGCTTTTCCACAACAAAGAAATTAAAACCCGGCGCCACTACGTAACCACATGTTGGTTTCATGGCGGCACCTTTTACAACATGCATGTCGTCTTTTATTTATAATGTATTTAGAAATGGATAGATGCACTGGCAACGGCAGAGGCTCGCCGCTGGTATTATCTCCTCAGTTTTTGAGGCGGATCTGCAATCAGTGACACAGAACTTGCAGGAATGAAACTTGCATGCTAAATGCTACCGTTGTATCACGTGTGTTCGTGGTTCGGGTGTCTGCCCAGAGAATATTTGCAATCACTGGGGTTCTGAAGCCTGGGATTCTTTCCAACAGTATGTAAAAATTGCCGAGACTGACTGCGTCGCTCGCTCGCGAAATGGTCGCGCGGCAAGTGCTACCGACATGGGTATGAGTGAGTGATAAGTCCTCGCGCTCGACTACCAGTTCTCATACCGGGATACCAAGCAAAGGGCCCGATAGTGGAGGTGTTGATGTATTTTGGTCTCCCCCCGCTGATCGGAGGGCATCTGCACAGTTTGTTTTTTCAGGCAGTGGGTTACCCAACTTTACCGGCAACAGCAAGGCTGGGCCCCTGGAGGTCCTTCCTCCTATGGGGCCCACGCTGGGTCCCGTTGTGGATCCATCCTTGCACGGCCCTGGTTTTGCCACTGAAATGAGGGCATTGGTCGAAGGACTCTCAGGGCAAATTGCGTCCCTGGCAGGCAGAGTAGATCACCTGCAGGCGGCAGCCGGCAAGTAGAAAGAAACACAGAAAGCACTGTTCGCATTCTAAACACGCACACACACACACACACCCACCCACCCAACACACACACACACACACACACACACACACACACACACACACACACACACCCGCCGATTCGGGGGAGGCTCAGGCTAGTGGCAATGGGTCTCCTCGGGGACCTCAGACATGTAACACCAACGGGGACACTGGTAGCCAAGGCTCCGTTGGTAGCCAAGGCTCCGTTTTCGGGGCAGGGCGTTCGGGTCAGGACATACATTTTACCCCCACCAACCCCCCACCCCCCCACCCACCACCCCCAACCCCACCCCACCCTCCGCTTTCAACCAGCCTGGGTTCACCGCGCGGTAACAGACTGATTAATTTACCTTCAAGTCTGTGGGTTTTGACTCCCTTCTCGCCGACCCACAGGCGTTCCCAGAGGGACTGCCATAGACTCCAGGTCCCCCCCCCCCCAACCACCCTACTCTTTCCGTAGCGTTGGTCTAAGTCCTCGAGGCGGAGAGAAAGGAACCAGAGTGATTGTGGTCATGTGGGTTTGTGATGTAAGGGGTAAAAGAATCTTGGGGTCATGGGGCTTCCCCTGACCTAGATTCTATCTCTCCGTCACCGGCAGAATCGCTGATTAATGCCTACAGTTCAAAATAGTCATTTTGACTGACCGGAGTCTATGGTGGATATGAACTATGTGAATAGGCGGGTTCAGAGAACCCTCGCCTAAATCTCTGTGTGGCACTGAGTATGTAATAAGATATAGAAGCAATGTTTCATGTACAGAATCAAAGTTCTATACAGAATGTAGTTGTTGCTAACCAGCATAAGTCATTGGTAATACATATACCATTAAAATTCAATTAGTAACTGCATCTGTGTTTATGACAAAAATTAAAACTGGCAAATGTCTTGATTACTACTTGATTTTCACTGTGAAATCTATTCAACCAATCATGTGTATCACTGTCATTGTGATTAAAAGCAAGGTCTTACATTCTGAACAAGTGCTAAAATTAGGGAGGTGATCAAAATCAAACCCGCAGTTTCCGGCCCGGTATCCGGTGAGCTCCAAGGAGCTGCTTTGTCTTCTGGGGAGCCCAGCGCAATATACAAATTTATGCAAGAATATTCATGAGCTGACAATTCAGTGCAGCACCTCCATTTCACGAGCTGACTCGAACAAATTGAAAACCCATTGTTTAACACTAAAACAACATTAATTGCTGTATAAAAAACAGGACAACTTAAAAGTAAATAAAAAAAAATCATGAACACTCGTACATTTTTTAAGGACATCGTAATAAGGTTTCTGCTGACCTATTTTCTAGCATCGAGTAAATTGCGTGTTTGCTTATTCATCAAAGCGTTGATTTCACAATATACATACATATTTAAAAAAACAGACAACTAGAAATTGTTTTCATAGATAATTGTGTTTATGTGTTCAAAATGAATGCAATATGATGTGATATAATGATATCAGTAATGTTTTACTGAGAGCAAGATCAATAAGTAATATTTACTGAAATTTTGTTCATATTAAACTCACTTTTTACATACCCGCTTCAGCAGATTATCAAACATTAACCGGAATAATAAAATGTAGATTATTATCATATCATCGTGACTACGCAACTTTGATAAAACACTGGATTGGTGGTACGTAGTTTCCAAAATAAAATACCTTTACGCCCACATTCCACAAATGTTCACAGCTGTAATTATAGTAACAATGGAATTATAAAAAACCGTAATTCATAAAATCATAAACACGCAACCTAAGATAAAACCTTGATCGGCAGTACATTTTGTACAGTTTCCAGAATATAGAAAATAGCATTACGCGTTGTAATTCATAACATCGTGACTGCGCAATGATTAATATTTCTGCAGATCTCGGGGTGTGTGTGTGGGGGGGGGGGGTCAACTGGCCCATCAAGGACAGGTCAGGACAGGAATTTCTGCTCCCTGAACTTTGAAGAGGGCATTCCTGGTTGCCTTGCACGATAGGTCTGCTATGCACCGTAGGGTAGGTAATGAAAATTTTAGATAGTTACGAAAATTAAGTATATAATTATCAGTAATTATTTATAATCCCCAAAGGAGTCTGAAGGAGTGTGATGTCATTCCGTGATTCACGGATTCACAAGTCTAGGATGATATTGATGACTCACTTTATCATTGATTGTCACTGTTCGGAATTGTTCATTGTTTTGTTTTACAATCTGTATTTTAATCCTTAATATTTAATTGATTGTTTTATTTTAATATACATGGCACTCGTTTTTGCTAGGTAAAACTTGGGGATGCTCTGTTGCCTTGCTTCAATACTGAATCAAAAGTGCCACATTCCGATGTTAATCTGAAGACAGAAAGAGCACATGCACCTAGATGGGGTCCTGATAGTACAGTGTCAGAAGTCAGTACAATACAATTAGAATTCAGAGACCTCTCATTTACAACTGGCAATCCCAAATACAAGGTAACTTACAGAAAATAAAATTTGTTTTATTTATTAAACATTGAATGTTACTGTTGTCTCTCCATACTTTTCACTTTCATTCATGTGCCTGTACTCTATTCATCTTTCAATCATAATGCCATTACTGTAGTTTGATGTGTACTGTCAACAAAATTAACAATTGTTATAAGAGATATGCATGAAAATATTTGAAACTGATACTACCATTATCAAAGCTTTATGTCTGTGACATAGTAGCTATTAATTTTCTGAAACTCAGTACTAAGCCTGCAATTTTTAGCATGACTTATGTAATGCTACACAAAGTTCATTTGTATATTAGATTTATTAAAGTCTCTCTTCACCTTATTTTGTCAGTGAATCTCTTCATAAATTGGCAGGTATTGTGGATATACAGAATTTAAAGTGTTAATTCACTATCTTTAAAATAGGAATGCTTACCGTTAGTCTCTTATTTGTATATAAAATGTTTGCTTGTATATATGATTACAGGAAGCTGTAGATATAGTTATGAATCACTTGTTCTCGTTGCCCAAAGCAAATCATCTTGTGCCAATATTTATCAATGCAAACACTGGAAAGTTTCGTACTGGAGCCACAATAACTTTAGGTGCTCGTGGTGACAGTTACTATGAATATTTATTGAAACAGTGGGTGCAGACTGGCCAGACAGAAGACAAGTAAGTTGGTATTATTGTATAATGTTTGTACCTGCCAAATCTGAGTGGCATCTTGGATGATTTAGTCTCACATGCTTCAGCCCACCCACAAAGTCTTCACATACAATATGGCATAATTTGTTTAACCTATTTTCAATGGACAAATTCTTTATACAGACTAGTCAATGGGGAAATGAAGTATAATGCCTATACTAAATTGTTCTGCATTTTAAAAATAATAGTGTCATTATGCAATGGCATGCACTGGTATAGATACATAGTGTCATTATACAATGGTATAGATACATAGTGTCATACAATGTTATAGATACATAGTTTCATTATACAATGTTATAGATACATAGTGTCATTATACAATGGTATAGATACATA